TGTGGTTTTTAATGGCTGTTGTTGTTGTTGTTAAGTGAATTGATTCATCAGCTGAGGCGTACGGCTTGCTTATGCATTTCTATGTAAATATATTCACTTCAATAGAATAACATATTCAATAGAATGATATTCTTTTATTGATTGTATGTATACATCTAATGTATACATCTATTTTATATATCTTTATTATAGATACGTGGGAAATTGTTTTCTGATTAAGATGCGTTAAGTATTAAGTTTACAACGTTTTGACTGAATGCTAAGAAGGGCATTACCGACTGCTTAATAGCCGTCTATATATAAATCTATGCTACTTATTGCATATAAATGGATATTTCAACTCCTAATAGCTCACATCGAATTTTTGACTGAGGATCTTCAGTAGACCTTATGAATTAATTTTACTAGTTTTTATTATATTATTTTTTATATGCATTTGATATTTTGATACATTTTCTTATTATTTATTATTTGTTTGTCATGTGTTAAAAATTAAGCTATTATTTATTTATTTTTTATTATATAAATATTGTATATTTATTTAAAAATTTGAAACAATTTATTAACAAATCATATTAAAAAATGTATAAATAAATATAACATGTAAATTTAAATTTAAAATAATGGCAATTGTACTCTGCGCTCTTATTTCTATGTGTTAACTCGAATGTATCTAAGGATACATAATGCCTATCTACTTGCTCCTCTTATCTATTAGCTATAATATTTAGTACTAATAGAAAATTTACCCAATTTATATTAAGCATATATCAACAGTTTATGGTATCAATTCTAATAATAGATATATTTTTGTGATAATTTATAATTGTAGTTTGAATCATAGTAAACACTAAAATTGCCTAGATCTTTTATCATCTGGCTGTCAATCTGCATCCATTCAAAACAGTTTCAGCTCAGGCTTGCATTCCAGCTGGCATTAAATAAAAAAATAGCAATTGCAAGCTCCGAACACCCCTTGACGCCCCCTGCAACATCTGCAGCTGTTGGAGCCCACAAAAAAAGAGAAAGATGTGATGTAGAGAGATAAATAGAGAGAGATAGAGAAAGGGAGAGAGAGAGGGAGAGAGCGAAAAACCAGTCCTGCCATAATCAGGTCATGCCTTGCCTTCTCTCGGCTAACGGAGTCAGAGCCAAGAACAGTTCCAGGCAACAAGCGCTCCGCCTTGCCAATAAATTCACGCTAATGGCTAAATAAAAAAGTAAACAAGAGGCAGAAGAAGAAGCCGCAGCAGCAGCAACATAGCCAGCAGAGGCTGAGGCAGTGGCAGCGGCTGAGACTGAGACTGAGACAGTCTCTTACATTTAGCCGCTCATCAATAATGAAGTACCGTTAGCTGCTGGCTGCTGGCTGCTGTCTGCATGCATGCAAGATCGTGTGTCCAAATGCACTTGGTTGTCATTGTCAAATGTGGAGGCATGCGTCAATAAATTACCTAGAAGARGCAGAACAAAACAGCAACAACAACAACAAATGCCAACAGAGAAGCAAAAAAACGGCTAAAAAGCCAAAGAGCCAACACTGGCTAACGGACTGGGCGACTGGCTGCCAACTGGGAGCAACGGTACATTATGCAATCACGGCATGAATGAGACACTCTTGACCGAGTTTCCATAGCCAGGCAATAACGGTAAATGCGACGTAACGCGACAGCTGACAAGTGCTCTGCAGCGCAGCGCCTAACGGGTTCTCGCTGCTCGCTGCCCGGTGCTCAGCGCGAAATGAATCGAAAGAAACTGCGCTAAAAGAAGAATCGCAAAAAGTCAGCGCGATCAATTCAAATTCAGAAACGATTTGGCAATTAGGAAGAAGAAGCAAATAAAATATATAATGCGGAATATAATTAAATAAAACATAAGCATTTAGCCATTGAGTGTATCTATTTACATTTTGATTTGGACTCAGTGCATGAGAATAATTAGAATTAATTGATGGGAGGTCTATATATATAAGGTGTCGTAGAAACAATTATTAAGACTGAGATCGAAGTGGGATTTACATTAATTGAATCTGATCTAATCTTAGAGATATTTATAGTTAAAGAGTCTAGGCGGTTAATAAATGAGATCATTTCAGACTGAATTCAAACAAATAAGCAGATAATAACAGTTTTTCAATCGCTACATCTTCAGCCAACAGATAGAGAAACAGAGTGGTTCAGATCATTAATAAATATTATGGTAATATTCCGATTTCTGGCAATCAATGCAACGTAATACCATTGGTATGTGGCCCCATTTGAATGCATAAATAATGGATCGAAAACATAATAAATAATAAACATAATAACAATAATATTATTGTATATTTCCCAAGATCTTTAAGCGATATTTCCCACTGGGCTAGACAACAATTCGATTTTCATTAGTTACAAAAGCGTTTATTCGCATGGACATTAATATAGATGTGATGCATACATTGATTATATAAGGATAAGTACGGCGCATTGCTATAAGTCTGATAAATGCCCCTCGGGAGTCGGCGACGCCCGTCTAGTCCACCAGATGGGTCTTGACCAGCGCTACGATGGGCGCGGCAGTGGGCATGTTAGGATACTCGCCAGCGCTGCCAGCGATATCCAAATGGGTGTATTTGAGGGGCTGCTTGGAGTTGACGCCGTGCTTGTCGAGGCCTGTGGCCTTGATCATGAAGGCAGCGGGCACTTGGTGACCGCGCGGAGTCTTAACGGATGGCGCATTGTTGGCCTGGACGACATCTTCGCCCCTGGCTTTGGCGGCATTGAAATCGAAATCGCATTGGCGCAGCACGGAGACCTCGAAGGGCTCACCGTAGGCCTGGCCAGCAGCCTGCAGTTTGCGAGCGTGATCCTCCTTGGCGGCCACACTGTTGTCCACAATGATGGATTGACCCTCGCCCGCAGAGATAAAGGCGTGGCCCGTCAGCGTGGCAATGGTGAAGATGTGCGGATCGGGCAGATTGCCCTCGATGGCCAGCTCCTTCATGCGGCAGAGCACATCGGCCATGCACATGCGACCCTCAGCGTCCGTATTTCCGATCCGGACACGGACGCCTGCCCGCGAGGTAATCAGCTCGTCGGACACGTAGCACTCCTCGCCCACGGAGTTGCGCACCAGGCAGAGGGCGCCAATCACATGGATGTCCTTCGGTTTCAGCTCGCTAACCACCTGCATGAAACCGGCCACAGCCGCTGCTCCACACTTGTCCCGCGACATGCCGGCCATGACGCCTCCGGCCTTGATGTCAGCGCCGCCGGTATCATAGGTGACGCCCTTGCCTACTAGCATAACAGTCTTGCGCGCCGGATTGGGAGGCTTATACTCCAGGTAGATAATACGCCCCTGATGGCGCTCCACCGAATGGGCAGCACGGTTGACAGCTGCGAACAGGGGATACTCCTTGTTGATCACGTCCACATCGTCGATGACATTGACGGACAGATTGGCAAACAACGGCTTAATATAGGCCTCCACAAGTGGGGGAGCCATGCGCTCCGGATCTCCGCCTCCGATGTCGCGTGCAATGAGACGACCCGATTCCAGGACCAGCGCATCCCGCATGATCTTCTCAGCATTGGGATTGTTGATCAGCACGGAGAGCGAATTGATTCGCTGCTTCTTCGAAGGGACATCCTCACGCAACTGAATGGGCTGTGGACAGGATTGGAGGCATGAGTGTGAGAGATGGATAAGATATGCTCAATTTACATACCACATAGAGCTCCTCGAGAGCACCAAGGACCGTGCACAGCTCCGCCTGGGAAAAGCGCTTGCTTTGGGGCACCACCAGAAGTGGCGCCTGGAAGCCAGCCTAGTTGACAAAAGAAAAGTTTAGTTTCATATTCTAAACTATTACACAGGGGATTTGCCCACCTTAATGGCTCTCTGCAGAGATTGAGCTGCCGCCTTCTGATAGCTGCGCACATCCGCATAGTCCGTTAGCTCCTCTACGGGCGCATAGATGACGGGCAGATCGAGATTCGCAGACTTGAAGCAGGAGACGACGCTGTCGAAAGCCTTGTCGAAGGACCGATGCTCCTCAAAGACGTCAGCCAGTTCGGCGGGCACAGCCCGGTCAATCACGCAGAGCACATCGTGACCGGACTTGGCCAAAATATTGGACAGCTTCACGGTGCAGGGCAGAAGTCTTAGAAGGTAAGAAAAGACAAAAAAAATAAGAGAAATAAAAAAATATCATAGGGATATATGTGGTAAGAATAAGTAAAGATAAAATAGAATAGAAGATAAACTTTTACTCTGAATACATACAAATTTTGTTTTGTTTAAAATGTAGTATAAAGTTTTAGAAATTTTCCAATCAAGAAGCTGCTTGTTCGTGTGGGCGAGTATTTACTGTGCATATACTATACATTCAATTTATTTTTATTTACTTAACTGCAGCAGTTGAAAGTTAATTGAAATGCAATTTTATCACGTCTAGCAGCAAGTTTTTTCAATTGACAGTGAATAGAGAGTGCCGAGCGATTTATGGGCGACGCCTTGTTACAGTGGGGCGTCTTGCTGATAAGCCAGCAACAGAACAAGATTATCTCGACTTTGAAATGCAATAAATAACGGCGATTGCGTTAAGCGAGATAAGTTAATAACAAATATTTGAACTAGGTGCAAGCCAATTTGCGAGAAGATTTGCCTGCCACTCAACAGAGAGAGTGAGAGAGAGAGGGATAGCTGAGCTTTCCAGTCTAGCCGGTCCTTGCAAATGGCGGCGATAAATTGCATTCACTTTCCACGCAAACAGATCTCAACTTTACTTACTTTTCGAGTCCCATATTGATGATGTTCAGAGCGGCAGCAACTGAAGCGTACGGCAAGTGGAGAGTCACTGATTGGGCGCTGGGCGAGCGTTGAAATTGTAATACAATGGAATACTGGAACTGGAAGAAGCGATAAGGCGCCGATAATGAATGGTTTTTTGCTCTTGTGTTATGTTTGATATTTGCTAAAACGTCGCTATTGACAGCGCGAATCGTTGTGTTGCGATTCTAAAGCGCAGCCATCGGCTTTATATACAGCGCGCCCATCGCCACAAAATATAAAAACAAAACACTGTGCACGAGCTATGATTAATCGCAGGTATGTTATGCTTGAAATTGTAGCCTGTGCATTTTGCATACACAACAACAATAATAAAAATACATAACTATTGCAGGCAACTGCTACTCACGTTGTCGTTGCCACAGAGCAAAGGCAAACACTTGGAGACCGCGCGATTCTCTTGCGAGTCACGTTCGCAGCGAATGAAAAGTAAAAAAAAAAAAAAAAACAGCTGTTGGCTGGAAGAAAGCCGGTCAGCTGTTCGCGCGGGTCGCGTTGCCAACTACATTCAATTTTAAATTAAATTTTCCAATATTTCAAAAGCAAATAGAAAACCAATTAAAGGTATTTAATTTAAAATTACAATTTGATAAGAAATACTATATAAATTTAAGGTTTGGTAATTGTTATATATTGTCTACGCTTATAAAATGTTCGATTTAATTTATGGCAATCAACGCAAAGCTCCAATGAATTCATATCAATAGAGTTTTGATTTGATTTTTTGATTTTATAAATTTATAATTATTTCTCATTTCGACATTTGCTTAAGCAAATACATGCAATACACTTTATTATGTATGTATATTTCTATTGAATGTTAAATTGTGTCTGTTATTTGGTCAATTGGATCTAAAACAACGGCTTTTAATGAAATATATAATCTCCTTCCAAGCTCTTATTCTCCATTTATATAGGCTTGTATTTCGTTAATCAGCTGTGGCAGCTGCTTGGCTTCTAGCGCCAGAAGTTTTCTGTATGGCTTTAAGCCACCCACGTCCTCTGGCCAATCACTTTCGATATCCATCGCATACTCGAAACTAAATTTGGAACGTTCGGCCAGCAGCTCCTCTTCGGCATTGGTGAACTGATCCTCATCTGGTTTGCCCTTCTTGCCCAGCTTGCGGTGGAACTTGACCAGCATTAGCAGCGTGCCAAAGTTGAACTTCATTTTCTTGGCCTTGGCCGCTTCAATTTCCTTATGCAGATTTTGTAGTAGCGGCACGGAAATCTGTGCTGGGATGTTGATGAAGCGCTCGTTGATCAGAAGGCCCACGTGCTGTTGCTCGTTGTCAAGCAGATTCCTCAGCTGCTCTTGCACCTGTTTTGTTGCATGCTTCGCAGCGCGCTCTGTTATGTATTTACGCAGCTGTTCTATAACGGGCTTATCTTTTTTGGCCGTTAGATTCACCACAGATGTGATGCCAAAGATGGTGTCATCCTCGACCATGTTATCGTCCGTTTCACTGTCGGGGCCGTCATCCATGCACTGGCATATAACGCTGCCCACAAAGTTTTGCGCTGTTATAGAAGAATTGTAATTGTGGTTCGGAATCGAGAATTAAGAATTAACTTTACCTATGAGAAGTTCAGCCAGCTGATTACAATTGATCTGTGCGCGTGGTACGAGGCGCTGCAGCAACTGTGAAATGCCCTCCGCATCTGGATCTACTGGTGCGCGTCCCTCGAATTCTATTTGCAGCTCCTACAATTGGAAGCGCTAATTAATTGACTTTATTTAAAAAAGATAATGTCTGTACCTCTTTCTCTTGGAACGATTCCGAGTCCATTCCATCGCTGTCGTCACTTTCCATATCGTCATCTTCCTCTTCTTCATTATCGTCATCGTTTTTAATATCCTCATCTTCACTGGAGCTATCAGCTTCAGCCGATTTTAAATTCTTCTTTTTGTTTGCTGACATATTCTAATATTTATTATTTTTCTAATTCAAAAAACCAAATGGTCCAAGCGCAATAAACATAAAACTTCAGCTGTTTGTCAACACACGTGTTGGTTGCTCAGCGCTGCCAGACTGTTCAAATACACACTTGTTCTTTTGAGCCGTGAGCTCACGGTGGCTCATTTTATTCCAGTTCAATAAAAAACAATTTTTTCAGTTATAGAAAATGCAGCAAATAATTTTTAACATAGCTACACTGTAACATATTTTAAATTGTTAAACAATATACAAAGAGCTTCTTATAGATAGATGTGTGCATTGTCATTATGTTTCATCCTTTTTGAGCTGCTCGTCATATTGCTGCTGGGTCAATAAGTTGGATATAATATCACTGCAGTTCTCGATCTTGGGCAACAATATGGCAAAGTATCCCGCGCCCTCAGCGGCCTGATGCAGCTGCTTGGCATCCGTTTGCAGCGCAGTGTTAACCTCTACCAGCTTGCCTCGTATGCAGCTGGGAATTTTATAGACTGTGCCAGTCTCGGTGGTCAGCAGAGCGAGCGTTGTGTCCTCCTGCAATATCATGCCGCCCTTCTTGGCCTTGCCCTTGACCACATTCTGGCTGCGGTCCATATTGCCCACATCGTAGCTAACGGAGGCGATGCCCTCGGCATAGGCGGGATGCGTGGGCGCAAGGCAAATGAGGCAAATGCGATTGGAGTGATAGAGCACCTGGTAAGGTGCTCCACCTTTAATGTAGTAGTACCGTGTAAAGAAGCGATCCACCACGCTAGGGTAATTGGGGTCATACCAATCAGTAATTGGGCTCACTAGTTCCCCGCAAATCTTCTGCTCTTCATGCTGAAAGTAGTACGGGGCGAAGGGATCTTCCTCTGCTCCGACTGCTTCAATCGCTGGCATCTTTATTTAGTTGGACTCGCCCTGCTGCAGTTTTTGCTTGTATTTTTCCTGGCGTTCCCTTGCCTTGGCGCGATTCGCAGCCGACCGTGCTATACGTTCCGCCTTCAGGCACTTAACCACCTTGTCGTCGATGGAGTTGCAAATGCCAATAAATTTACCGAAAGCGTTCTGAATGCATAAACCTTAGTTAACCACGTTAGAAAATGGCAAGACATTAACTTACGTTATCGTGACAGGCTTTGAGCTCTTCTATTAGTTGATTGCAGGCTGGAGTATGCAGATGGGCCGACAGATCTGTGTGCATTTTCACTTACTAACAGTTTTATGAAACATTAAGTGCAGCACTATTTCTTTATTTATTTCATTCTCCGTTACTCTTACGCAAATGTTTATATCGGGCTGTTATCGATTTGCCGGCGATATATTGCCATGCAAGCAGCTGTTCTCAGCAAAGATACTAAAATATACCAAATTCAAATAATACTCTAAAGCAACGGTTGCTTAGGTTTTTATTTTTGAAAATAATATTTGTGGTATTTTCAGTTTTTATTATATTTATTTATTTGTGTATATTACCCGCTCTCACAGTTGATTTTATATAAGTTCTCAGTTTGTCATAGATATTGTATATGTAAATATCAGCAATTTAACATATTTTGAATCTCTCACATGCCTTTATAAATATATTTGTATTTATCATTTATGCATAATTAGAAAAAATTGATTTAACGTCTTCACTGTTTACTTCTTCTTTTACCGAAAAGTATTCTCAACTACATCATCGAAATAAGGTTGTCTCAAAAATAAACTAACTGTTGTGTATTTGCTCAAACATCTGTTAAAAACTCTGCTAAAAACTCTCAAAAAAAATTTAGTGTGCACTGTTGTAACAACTAGGTCAAAATGTGGATTGGGTTTGGTCTTGGTGGTTTGTCTTGTTAGATATCGTCAAAAGTTCGTATTTTAATTGGTTCTCAGTTTGCTCGTTAAATTTGCTACACTCAGTTAAAAAATAAAAATCTGATTTAACTCTACAAAAAAAAAAGACAATGCTATCTCTCTCTCTCTCACTTATTAATTCACTAAACGGTGAACGTTGTCAGTGTGTGTGTATGTATGTGTGTGTTTTACGCTCTCATGTGTGCATTAGTTTTCTCTCATAAAGCTCTCAGTTCGGTTATATTATAAGTACAATCAGATGAAACAGAAAATAAAAACTCTACAAACTTCAAAAATTCGAAAAACAAAAATAATAATGGCTCTCTTTTGTCTTACGCTGTTGTTGTTGCTGTTCATGTTTGTTGTTGTTGTTTGTGTGTTCGTCAATGGATAACAAATACGTTAACAATTCTTTGCTCTCACTTGTAGCTCGATTTGTTTCTCTCTCTGTCTCTCTCTCTTATATGTTCCTAATAGCTCTCACTCCCCATGCTGATACAGTTACTTGACTACTGACAGCTACTGTTTTCTCTCTCTCGCTATATATATATGTATATGTATCATTCTCTCATTAAAACAAACTAAATGGCAGGCTTACTCCTTGACGGAGCCAATACCTCAACTCGTCTTTCTCGGCTCGGCTTGGACGTTGCTCGGTTGCGCCTGCGCCTGCGTCTGGGCCTGCGCCTCAATGCTGGCTAACGCAGCTTCCGACATTTTTTTGTATTTGCCCGCCAATTCGGGCAGCTCGTAGGCAATGGCCAGGTCCAGCTTGGTGATGGGACAGCCGCGGAAGTAGGTGCACGTCTCGGAGAGCTTCTTGAACTCGTACAGCGGATTCAGGCGGAAGAAGTCGCGATAGACATCCGGATCGGGCAGATCGTAGCGCGAGATATTGGTCAGCGTGGACAAGCCCTCATATATGTGGTAGTTCTGCGGATGATCGATGATATCGTCCGCGATGCGCTTCTTGTTGCCAAACAGAGTCTTGTGGTTGTAGTAGGTGTTCAAATAGCAGTCGACCATCTTGGCATGATTACGCACACGCACCTGGAATACATAAAACAAGCATATACATCTTATTCAGATCCCATCCATCTATCTCCGATATATCAGGCTCTACTCACGGCAAAGCGACGAGCGCTTGCGATCTTGTGCTCGATCCTCTTGTCGATCGCTGTGCGCAGATCCCGCAGGAAGGCGCGCTCCTGGGCCAGCAGCAGGCGAGCTGGTGCGCCCTCCTGATAGGGATGCGTCCAGAGAGAGGTGGTGTACATGAGTGGCGGCTGTGCCGACGACATCAGCGGCGATATATTCCATATGAGTGCGCCCTGAACGCGCAGCAGCTCTTCGGGTTTCACGGTGTCCGCCTTGTTCAGTATGATGCGCGTCTGATACTCGCGCCCCTTCAGCTGATCGAGTATGGCCTCGGTCTCTGGGCCCACATCCAACTTGGCTGGGTCGTAGACCAGAAAGATGATGTCGGCCCGATCGATAAACCACTGGCAGGCGTCGTTAAAGGGAAAGACGCGAGAGACCTGCTTGCGTACTTCGAGTATGCCAGGTATCTCAACGATGTTGACCTGAAAGCCAAAATTACGAAAATTGAAAAATTCGTTTACCAAATGAGTATGAGTATGAGTGTGAGTGTGAGAGAGTGTGCGTGTGTATGAGTGTGTGTACAACATCATCAACATTTAGCCATTGTGTTTAGCTATTTTCGACATTTAATAACCAGAATACTATATACGATCTTGCGCTCTTGGGCATTTTGCCAACGGCTGAGCATATCAAAAAACATATTTCCCAATCGACGAGCTGCCCTGCCAAAAGCTATTTGGGCGACAAGTTAATGCACTTAGGCAACAAGTGCATGTGCCTAGCCCACATCTATATATACCTTTGCCTATCTAGTACGCATACCTTTTCGAGCAGCTTGTTCTTCAATTTCAGGCCGCGCAGACGCTCTTCCAGACCCTGGCCGAACTTCTGCAGACCCGAGAAGGTATAGTCGGCTGCCAGCTGGGTGCCGTCTAGCACTTCCGTCTCATTGCCCCACATCAAAATGTTGAAGTAAGCCGGCGACGGTTCCGCGCCTAGAAAATCCCAACAGAATTAGTCTAGATTCCCACACATCCCGCATGCCCATAATCCCGTACCGGTTCTCAACGAGTTGGGCGTATATTCATTGTCCGTCAGATAGTTGAGAATGGAGGATTTGCCGCCCGACCAGGGACCCATGAACAGGATCAAGGGCTTTGAGAAGATCTCGGGATCACCGAAGTGACGATTGCTCAAGTCACGATACTTGTACAGCGTCTCCAGTGGCTTGATGGCGTTCTCATAGATCTTCTTGATGTCGCGCAGAATTATCTCAGCGACATTGTCGGTGGCCTTCTCTCGTGCATTGAACTCCTCGTCCAGCAGCAGCAGCTCGGTGATGTGCTGACGGCTGCGACGATTCTGTGGAACGGCACCCTCCTGGAAATAGAAAGAGTAGATCGAATCACAGCGGATTCAATTTTTGTGTCTTTTTCCACTTACCCAGAGCAATTCATCTTCGGGCTTGGTGTCCTCGTCATCAGCATCGATAGCATCTTCGGCAGCAACTGCTGTTTCTTCTGCCTGAGGCTCTTCAGCAGCTTCGCCGGATGCTTCAGGTTCTGGCTCGACGGCTTCTTCCACAGGCTTCTGTTCTACCTCCACTGCTTCCTCTTGCTGCTCGACAGCCACAGCTGGCTGTGCTTCAGCTTCTGGCTCTGGCTCTGCCTCTGCCTCCACTTCCAGTTCTTCTTCTTTGACCGGCTCCTCTTCTACAGCTGCTTCGGGCTCAGCCTCTGCAGCTTCTTCCTCCTTCTCCTCTTCGGCAGGGAACTCCTCAGCTGGACTTGGGGGTGCCTCAATTTCACCAACTGGCGCTGCATCCACCTCGCGCTTGCTGCGCTTCTTCACCTCCTCCTCCTCATCATCATCGTCGACAGTCTCGCGACTGTCGTCATGATCATTGGGTATACCATCGCCATCCATGTCATTGTCGTGCTCATTCAGGATGCCATCGCCATCCATGTCGTCGTCCTTCTCGTTCACCTTGTTGTCGCCATCAATGTCATCGTCCACATTGTTTGGCACACCATCCCCGTCGATGTCCATGCTCTGAGGCTCTTCGGAATTGGATAGACCGTCGCCATCAACAT